GCAATAGCGAGTACATTTCTATACCGCTTACCAGGGCCTTCTTTGTTGTTGTTAACTGCCCTCGAGATAATGTCAAGCCATGGCTGCCCTAAGGATGAGATCTCCAAAAAGACCCTCAGTCCTCCATTGCTCTGCTTCATTCCTGCAACCCCTTCATTAATCCCAAAAGTGACCTCCTTCGCAACAGAGTCCCTCCATCTGGCCTGTGGCCTTCCTCTCGTCCTATTTCTCTCCATCTTCTGGCCTTTGCAGACTGCCAGAAATAGTGCACATTAAATTGAGGCACTGCCCTGGCTCAGTGCTAGGGAGTCATGGGAATTGTATTTTTTTTCTGGGACATTGAGCCTTCTCTGCCAGAGAGCTCTGGTGCCACAATAAACTACAGTTCCCATGATTCCCTAGCACTGAGCCAGGGCAGTGCCTCAATTTAATGTGCACTATTTCTGGCAGTCTGCAACCCCCCTTCCTTAGCATTATTGTCTTTTCCAAAGAGTCCTCCCTTCTCATGATGTTTCCAAAGTAAGATGGCCTCACTTTGGTCATCTTGGCTTCTTCCAGGGAGGTTTCCTTCCGCCTTCATCTGCTCTAGGATCCACTTGTTTGTCCTTTTGGCTGTCCGTGGGATCCTCTGCACTCTTCTCCAGCACCACATTATCTCAAATGCACTGATTTTCTTCCTGTCATCTTTCTTAGCTTTCTCACATCCATCCATGGGAATAGGGAATACGATGGCTTGTATGATTTTGACTTTTGGGCTGAGTTGTACAGTCGGCCCTCCATTTTCATGGGGGATCTGTTCCCGACCACCCCCCCAAAAGAAATTGAGATTTGCAAATATTCAAGCCCCATAGGCTTGAATGGGGCACCCAGCTACAAGGGCGCCCCCATTGATTTAAACGGCGATCGCTACTCCACGAATATGTAAAACCATGGACTTCAAGTCTGCAAGAATAGAGGGGTGACTGTATATCTTAAGCATCCCTAAGCGGTTGACAAGGTGTAAGCCAATTGCCCCCAACAAGCTGGGGACTCATTTTAGGGACCTCGGAAGGATGCCAGGCTGAGTTGACCCTGAGCCCTGGCTGGTATTGAACTCACAACCTTGTGGTTTGTGAGTGAGTGGTGCAGTACAGGTATTTAACCACTGCGCCACTAGGGCTCTGGTGTCCACAACCTAGGTGGCATCCACACTGTAGAAATAATGCACTTTGACACCACTTTGACTCCCAATAGCTCAGTGCTCTGGAATCTTGGGAATTGTCGCCTGTTGCGGCACCAGAGCGCTCTGAGAGGGTGTGTGTGTACTAAATGTCTCACAAAACTGCAGATCCCAGAATTCCATTTTATGCAACTGATGGATTCCATTGTGGCAATTAAAACAGTATCAGACTGGATTAAATTCTGTGGAATGAGTGGGGGATGGAAGAGCCTTGAATGGGTAAAAACAATAAATGTTAGAAACTGGGAAGCTGAACAAAAATTTCATTTGGGTGTTAGAATTGTTGTATGGGGAGGACAATGCCCTCATTTTTCTCCCCAGCAGAAGACCCCTGGAGCCTAAATATCAGGTCCTGCCTGATCTTGGAAGCTAAGCAGGTCCAGCCCTGGTTAGTCCATGGGTGGGGGGCCACCAAGGAATCCCAGGTGCTGTAAGCTATGTTTTAGAGGAAAGAACTGTCAAAACCACCTCTGATGATTCCTTAACTAAGGGCCTGAACAGACTGCCAGAAATAATCCAGCTTGAGACCACTTTAACTGTCCTGGCTCAATGCTAGGGAATCACGGGAATTGTAGTTTTTTCCAAGGTATTGAGCCTTCTCTGTCAGAGAGCTCTGGTGCCACAATAAACTACAGTTCCCATGATTCCCTAGCACTGAGCCAGGGCAGTTAAAGTGGTCTCAAACTGGATTATTTCCAGCAGTCTGTTCAGACCCTATGAATACTTCTTGGAATTCATGGGGTCACCCTAAGTCGACAGGTGACACACACATTCACAGTAGATCCCTGGATCCCAATGCTTTTCACGGCCTAGCTTAAAACAGAATACATAAGTGTTCACGTTTTTAAGAAGCCAAATAAACAATCCTGTAAAAGACTCGTTTAAAACAGTTCAAAAACATTTATTTAAAACAACAAGGATAAAAACACCGCAACTCTCCCTTAAAAGACCCTTCTTCAACAGCCAGTTGACAGCCAAAGGGCTATCTTAAGTGGATAGATCTTGGTCTGCCAATGGAACAAAAGGTAGAACACACTGTTTATTTATTTCATATTAACTGATCATATTAACTGGACTTTGTTTCAGCCTGAGATTCAAGATGGCTTACAACGACTACAACACCCACATTTTTGTTTCTGAAGTAAAAGGACAGTCGAGACTCAACAGTTGTTTGACAGGAAAAGGGTTGTTAACTGCCCTTGAGTTGACTCTGACTCATGGGGTCCCTGTGGATGAGATATCTCCAAGACCCCCTGTCCTCCAGTGCTTTGCTCAGGTCCTGCAAATTCAGGCCCATGGCTTCTCTGGTTGAGTCCATGCACTTGGCATGTAGTTTTCCTCTCTTTCTACTTCCCTCCACCTTTCCTAGCATTATTGTCTTTTCGAATGAGTTGGCCAAAGTATGACATGGCCAAAGTATGACAGCCTCAGAATAGACTTAGCAAGGGTGAGCAAAAGGTAGTGCTGGGGCTTCATGTGGCCCACAAAGTGGCTTTGTAGTCCCCACCTCCTCCAGTCTCCTTGGACTACGGTACCCTTTTTCTGTTTCCCAAAAAGGATGAATTGTCTTTTCTTTTTTATTATTATTATTTTAATATAAAACATATATACATATACAGTAGTATTACAAAACTAACAATCAAATTACTTATTACAACAGTACAAACAATCAAATAACAGACAAACAAATAAATTGTACTAATTTTATATTCACAATCAACTAAACAAAGAAAAAAAAAAGAAAAACGGAGAAACAAACCAATCCCTCACCCCCCCCAAAAAATAAGGAAAGAAAAAAAAATCTGAAAATAACAAACAAACAATATATATATATATATATATATATATATATATATATATGGAAGGTACAACAGCAATTTTGGAGAGAATCATTGACATTATTAAGTGTTATGTATCACTAACAACTACAAAACTTATTTTTACACTTCCTATTACTCTTAACATTCCGTATATTCCTTTATATGCATCTAACAAAATTATCAGTAAAAATTATAATTTATCAAATTTT